TATAACCTAAGGAAGAGAATGAGGCTTGAGGCAATGAATCAGGTCATTGAGGCAAGAATAATGCATCACTCACCATACATACAGTCACCATCCAGTGAGGCCACACTTTGGACTGGTAGAGGGTATATAGCATGGGAACTTGGTAGGTGATATGAAGTGTACTTAACAGTATCATTTTCATTCAGAAGGAGCAATGACTCCCGTATTCTTTGAGCCTTTGAGCTAGGTAGATTGTGTAATTTATAGGAGACCTGTTTCCCCAAAGTCGGGCCAACAGTTGGTCATTTCATCTCATATTCATTCAAGCTATATATTGAATACACTATGATTTTAAAAAGAGGCAAAAATGTATGTTGAATAATTGTCAGTGACTCTACATTAGATGTCACTAACCACCAAATGGTGCCACAACACTGATATACTAAATAGCTCTTCTGCTCCTCACCCAGTGTCTACCAATCAGCAAGGGGCTCACTACCAATAGGGAGAGAGAACAGGAGTGAGAAGTGTAAGACCTAGAGGATGGAAGAAGGGGGTAAAGCACCTTGGGAATAAACAGTACTGAGAGCATAACACCTGCATTTCAATAATTTGGTCTTCTGTTGGCACACACACACACACACACATACATACATACGCACACATTCCTGAAGCCTTTATTTCACTTTCTTGGTTAAATGCACTGGCTAGAATCTCCAGTACAATGTTGACTAGTGGTGATGAGAGAAGACATCTTTGTCTGATTTTAGGAAGAAAGCCTTCAGTCTTATATATTATTAGCTGTGAGCTTTTTCTTGGTGTGCTTTTTCAGGTTGGGAAACTGCACTTCTATTCCTAATTTTTTACGTGTCTTTATCATGAAAGGGTATTGGATTTTGTCAAATGGTTTTGTTGCATCTATTCAGATGATCATGTGAGATCATGTCCTTCATTGCATTAACATGACATATTACATTAATTGATTGTCAGATGTAAAAACCAAACTTGCATTAATCTCACTTCGTTAACGTGTATAATTCTTTTCATATGTTGTTGAATTTGATTTGCTAGTATTTTGTTGAGGACCTGAATCCACATTTATAGAAGATATTGGTCCATAGTTTTCCTTTCTTTTGACATCTTTGGGTTTGGTATCAACATAAAAATGGTCTCATAGAATATTCCCTCCTCGGGGCACCTGGGTGGCTCAGTCGGTTAAGCCTCTGCCTTCAGCTCAGGGTCCTGGGATCAAGCCCCGCATTGAGCCCTGCATCAGGCCCACTTCTCAGCAGGGAATCTGATTCTCCCTCTGCCCCTCCCCCGCATGCTCTCTCATGTTCTCTCTCTCAAATAAATATATAAAATCTTAAAAAAAAATTTAAAAGAATTGTTCCCTCCGCTTGTATTATTTGGAAAAGTTCATGAAGAATTGGTATTCATTCTTTAAATGTTTGGTAGCATTCACCAGTAAAACTGTCTAGGCCTGGACTTTGTGCATATTTTTTTATTACTAATTAAATTTTATTTTCTCGTTATAGGTCTATTTAGATTTTATATTTCTTATTAAGTTTTGGTAGTTTGTGCTTTTGTAAGAACTTCTTCATTTAATCCAGATTACCTAATTTATTGTCATACAATTGTTCATGTTATTTCTTTTTAATTCTTTTTTATTTCTGTAAGGTTGATAGCCATGTCCCCACTTTCCTTCCTGATTTTAATAAGTTAAGTCCTCTTTTCTTCCTTGGTCAGTCTAGCCTAAGTTTTGCCAATTGTGTTGATTTTTCAAAGAAGCAGTTTTTATTTCATTGATTTTTCTCTATTTTTTTCCTATTCTTCATTTCATTAACTTCTGCTATAATCTTTGTTACAGCACCAAAATGAGAAGGAAAGCATAAGCTATCATCTTCAAAATCCAATCTTATGAATGAAAATAAGCAGAGTCCTGAACTCATACTATAGGAAGCTAATTATTGCTTTAAACTATCCTTTGACTCTCAAGTTCAATCACCCACTGCAGAAGTTGGTTTATGTGTACAGATCTTCCTTAACTGTCTGTGGGATTACATCTCAATAAACCCACCATAAATTGAAAATATCATAAGTTGAAACTGCATTTAATGTACCAAAACCCCACTGAACATCATAACTTAGCCTCGTCTACCTTAACTATGCTCAGAACACTTACATCAGTATACAGTTGGGCAAAATCATCTAACACAACACCTATTAAAATAAAGTGTCAAATATCATGTAATTTATTGAATATTATACTGAAAGTGAAAATCAGAATGGTTGCATAGGTACAGAATGTTCGTAAGTATATTGGTTTTTTACCTTCCTGATTGCATGGCTGACTGGGAGCTGAGGCTTACTGCGGCTACCTAGCATCACGAGACTATCCTATCGCTAACATTATCCCAGGAAAAGATCTAAATTCAAAATTTGAAATACAGTTTCTACTGAATGTATATCATTTTCATACCATCAGAAAGTAGAAAATTCATAAGTCAAACCATTGTAAGTCAGGGACCATCTGGTGTAGGAATCTGGAATCCAAAGTCTGGGAGGAAGATCAAAAAATGTCAGCCCCCCTCTCCAGCACTTCTCATCAAAATCACCACATAACGAAATCAAGTAGTCTTCTGCAGAGGCAGCTTCTACCCTTTCTCTCCCCCTAAAGTAAATTTGTAAATGCTTCACTTATCAGGCAAAGGTGAATCCCATATAACCAAAAGACTAAAGCAATTGTTCACAAATTTTCACCATCAATGTGACTTTTCAAAATGTATTTCATCTGCACCCCCATGTCAGTGGAGTCTTTAAAAGATTTTGTCTACCAAAAAATTACATATGTATTAAGCAATAAACAATTTGTTCTGCCCCTATTACTATTTTTTTCAACCTTAATGGAGATTGCAAATGATTTATTAGCAGCAAAGTTTATAGTAGTATTATGAAATCATAGGCTATTAATAAACAAGAATAACTAAGAATCCAGTCCTTTAGAACACAGAACTCTTGGTTGTTCAATATTGGCCATCATTGTGGCAGGATTCAACCCATTTAAGTCAAACACTAAAACCACATGACTTTTGCTCTGAGAGTTGCATTTGGCTCAGTACTCTTGTCCTAGTTATTTCTTTGAAGTCGTCAATGGCCAAATTAAGCTGGCATTATAATAACTTAGTCTTAGTAGTATGGTAAGCACACCATTTTGAACCTTTACTCTCTTTTCCAGCCAAGTCAACTCCATGGTTCCCGAACTGTGTGCCAAGGCACCCCAGAATACTGCAACAAATTCACAAGAGCACTGGAAAGACATTTTAAATTTTCTAGGGAAACATAACAATTTCTCTTAGATACCACATAAACTATAAAATTATGTGGATATATATTTAATAAACAGAACTGTTAGAAATTTCTTTTGGCCTAGGAATACTATGAAAAAATTACCAAATCACTGTGATCTGGAAAAGATAATACAACCTCTGTATTATCTATTTTAGTTTTCCCCCATAGCCTTATTAAGGATAACTGCATGGTTTATTAGCCTTTTTGAAATGGAAATATTAAAAAGAGCTCCAAGAACCTTTTTGGCTTCATGAGCCCCAAGTTGGTAACTGATAGACTAAGATGTCTCTAAAATCACATCAACAGAACAAAAGTGTGTATAATTGATAAGTGCATTCTTTATCATGATACCATTATAGCAAAACAGTGCTTCCTGTTCTTGATCAAGAACTTTCCCCCCTAAATTTTTCTAAAGGTAGAGAATGAGCAAAGAGGACACATCTAGAGAGACACTTCATTCATTTAACAAAAATTGACTAAGCATATACTTAGGTGACATGTAAGTGAGATCTGAATGAAGGGGGAGAGAATCACATAGGTAATTAGAGAAAGGGTTCCAGGCAGAGGGTTGCAGCAGGTGCAAAGATGAGAGCATGTTTGGTATTCCAGATATGAGTTTGCATTGCAAGTTTGAGTCTTTTGAATTTGAGTCTCAGATACTGGTTAGCTTACAACACTAACTTTGTGAACCTATAAGGCCAAGAGCCAAGTAAGTTCAGGCATGCCTTAGTGACTTGAGCAAGATGCAAACACCCTATTAGGCTTAGCAAAATGAGCTTCCCCTTCTTTCCTTCCTTCCTTCCTTCCTTCCTTCCTTCCTTCCTTCCTTCCTTCCTTCCTTCCTTCCTCCCTCCCTCCCTCCCTCCCTTCCTCCCTTCCTTCCTTCCTTCCTTCCATTTCCACCAAATGTTATTGAAAGTCCACTGGTTTTGGTGCTTATTGTACAGCAGTAAATAAAACACACAGGGCCCCAGCCTGTTTGAAATTTACAGACTAGCAAACTAGGTTTTTTGTAAACAAAAAATCCAGAGTGTGATAAGTATCAAACATTTGTTCAGTGAACCTGGCCCAAATTAAAAGATAAATGTTTGATCAATGAATCAATGTTTGAATGAGTGAACAAATGAGATGGATTGACTGACCTTTAAGATTTTATAACTCTGAGATTCTTACCATAGCAGGATAATTAGAATTTTTTTTTCTGATTCCCATTTTCTATTCCTATATTGGTATGAGTGAAAAATGTTGAGAAAGAATTAAGCTAAATCTGCCAGTCATAAAACTTCATAAGAAAATCAATTAAGTAGCTCAAAATCATTTCTGTACTTTCAGAAAAAAAAGAAGCAGATGTCTGATGATATTTTTAATTGAATTCAGAAGTTATTACCTACAAGAACCTTTAATTTATTCTTACCCAGTCAATCGAAAACAATTTAAGCAAAGCAGAATCTGTTTTCTTCTAAGTTGCAACTGAGCTGAGGGCTGTCATGCCAAGTTTCACCCAGTGTGAATTTCAGCAGCTGAATGATAAACACCAGTAAAAGAAGGCCTTTTCTAGAAAGCCAGCAGGACTGCTTTAGCCAAGTTTATGCTACTAGGCAACAACCTAAGAAAACCAATATTCTGTTGCTAATTACCCATCTAAAAGGCTAGAGAGGAAATTACAGAAAGAAGCAATCTTCTTAATAATTCCCCCATTACCCAATCCTGAATCATCTCTTACCCATGAAAGGATGAACATAGAAGTTTCAGAGAATCCCAATTCTCATTAAAGTAAGGAAAGAGATTGCTTCCCTAAAGAAATGGGCTTAACAATTCTGTGTATAGGTATAGTAACATGTAGTAATTTACAAATGTAGTGGATGAAAGTGACAGACAGGGTAAGTTTCTGGGGACTGAAAGGGTGGGAGCCAGAAACCCCAAACTGATGTCAATTCCATCAGCCACATTGCAACCTGGCCTCTACTGGTTCATCCATTCACTCATCACATGTGAACAAGACAGAAAAACTTACAGTGTAGTATAAAGGTCAGATAAGAAACAAGTAAACAAATAAACAAGATCATAAAGATAATTGTGCCTTGAAAATTTCCAAGGTGATATGATAGAGAGTAACTTGAGAAGCCTCATTTAATAGGCTGGTTAAAACCCTTCAGAGTATTTTTCTGGCCTAAGGTTTCATATATGTTGCAAACGTTCTCTGTGTTCTTTTTAAACTGGGCCTAACCATGCCCCTATAACATTAGCTAATGACACTTACTCTCTTTTCCAGCCAAGTCATGATGAGTCTGTGGAAAGGAAGAGAAAGGAAGGGAATGGGGGACGTTTTTAACACAATGGTCGAAATAAGCCAACATAAGAATACCATAAGAAAACTCACTTCTTCCTTTATGACCGTGGCAAAGGCAAATTCCTTAGGAAGGCTAAAAAAGCAAGAATATTGAAGAAATAGTTGAAAAATTGGATTTCAAAAAAATTCAAAGCTTTTGCTCTTAGAAAAACACCTTTTAAGAAAGGAAAAGGTAGACTGCAGACTGGGAGAAAATATCTAATATATATCCAAAATATTATTTGTGTGCACACCTAATATTATGTGTATATATACATATATGTGTGTATATACATACAAGTATTATATATACATATAGGACATATATGTATCATATTTCATGTATACCTAAAAAGGACACATATGGAGCATATAAAGAATTCTTAGATATCAATAAGAAGACAAACAACCCAATTTTTAAATGAACAAAAGCTTTGAATAGGAACTTTACAAAGGAGGATACGCAAATGGCTAATAGTACATGAAAACATGGTCAACACCATTAGTCATCAGAGAAGTACATATTAAAACCACAATGGAATACCCCTTTACACCTGCTAGAATGGCTAAGATGAAAGAGTAACCATACCAAGAGTTGGTGAGGATGGGAAAAAACTGGAACACTCTTACACTGCTGGTGTTCATGCAAACTTGTATACAATGTTCATAAAAGCTTTATTCATAATAGCTACAAACAGAAACCTACTGCCCATCACAGGTGATTGGATAAACTAGTTGTGTTATATCTATAAAGTGGAATACTATTTAGCAATAAAATGAACCACTAATACATTCAACAACAACATGAATGAATGAATCTCAGAAACATGCTGAACAAAATATGCCAGGTATAAAAGTCATGATGTAGGGGCGCCTGGGTGGCTCAGTCGGTTAAGCGGCTGCCTTCAGCTCAGGTCACGATCCCAGGGTCCTGGGATCGAGCCCCATGTCGGGCTCCTTGCTCAGTGGAGAGCCTGCTTCTCCCTCTCCCTCTGCCTGCTGCTCCCCCTGCTTGTGCTATCTCTCCCTCGGAGTCAAATAGATAAAATCTAAAAAAAAAAAAAAAAAAAAGTCATGATGTATGAAAACATTTATATGAGATTCTAGAAAAAAGGAAATATAATCTGCAGTGATAAAAAGCAGATCAGTGGTTATCTGGAGCTGGAGTTCAGGATGGATTGACATTTAGAGAGCATGAGGAAAATTTTGGAGTGATGGAAATGTTCTACAATATGGTGGTGACTATAATGGTGGTTAGAGAGATGTATGTATACATTTGTCAAAACTCTCAAAATGTATACATATAAGAATCACATTTTATTATATGTAAATAATAATGTTGATTATACACAATAAAGTTGATTTTTGAAAACTAGCTTCTTTCAAAAAGTGGTTTTAATGTTTGCTTATAATACTGGTATAAGTGTGTCATTCACTGGATCAATCCACAAAATTTGAGATTGGAAAGTTAGGCAGACATGGAGCCAATATAACAACCATAGCCCCAGATTATTCGCTGACCTGGTTTTACTAAATTTGCCATGCCAATCTTGAAAGAAATTCTGTGAAGAAAAAGTCTCTGGTCCAGTAGATTATAGAGAGACTGAATGCTCTATCTGTAGATTCACATTATACATTACCCTAAATTTGGTTCTGAAAGTCCTATAAAGAATATCCAGTAGAGGGGTGCCTGGGTGGCTCAGTCGTTAAGCATCTGCCTTCAGCTCGGGTCATGGTCTCAGGGTCCTGGGATCGAGCCCTGCATCGGGCTACCTGCTTGTCGGGAGGCCTGCTTCTCCCTCTTCCACTCCCCCTGCTTGTGTTCCCTCTCTCGCTGTGTTTCTCTCTGTCAAATAAACAAATAAAATCTTAAAAAAAAAAAAAGAATATCCAGTGGAACAGGTTTGGGAAACACTAAATTAGTTGGTCAATGTCAATCTGGAGGGAAGTGTCTTAGAGTTTTTAATCATCTATATATGTTTTAAATCTCAAAAAAAAATGATTTAGTATGTAGCATTTTCCACATGTATTTGAGCATGGTACTCATCTTGTAAAATTGTGTTCCATATTATTTGTTACAAAAATAGTTTTTTAGGGTTCTTCCAAAGAGCTTGGTACTTGACTCCATCCTTACAAACAACTTGGCCAAATGGCAAAAACTAGATTGTCAGATTTTTGGATGACACAACCTATTTTTTTAATGATAGTCATTATTATAGAATTTGAATCTACCAAGATCTTGGACAGGCAAGATTGATGGGATTTTAAAAACTTATTGGGTTTGAATGTTAATGTTAATATAAGTGTATATGTTTTCTGGGGGACAGAGCAGACCAGGCTTTGGAGTTTTAGTTGACCTTAAACTCGACCAAAAGCATAATGTTGCAGCATTAAAAACCAATTCAAGCCTAGTCTACACAATTAAAAGAACAGTGTCAAGAACAATAAGAAGAGAACCGTTATAGATAAGTACCACTGTAGATCTAAAAGATGGAGAAAGATCTGAGAATGATGCCAAACGAATACCGTCCAAAATCTGGGGAAAAGAATACACAGGCATAATGGTATTTGCCTCCAAATATGTGGGGAAATTTCATGGACTGTCACTCAAGCATCTTGACTGCCAGCTTCTAGACCTCTTTAAATCTCTAATTGTACCTAACCAAGGCTGTTTTAATCAGAATAGAAATTTATTCACAAAATCCACAGAACGTGGGAAGACCAGGTTCCTCCCAGGATGGAAAGAACTCTGGGACAGGGTGGCCAGAAGCCAAACAGGGGTCAAGACAGGAGAAATATGGTCCCTATACCCCTGCCTCTACCATTAACGATGAACCATCAGCACCCATCCCATTCTTGCTTTTGCAGCATTCACTCAGGACTCAACACCTGTTAAATGGCAAAAAAAGTTGGACCAAAATCATGTGCCTGGCCTGGGCTGGATTTATTTTGAGTTCTTCCAAAACCAAAACTAGCAGTAATGAGATGGTTCTTGACCTGGGATCCTGTAAAGATGTCCTTGCTTGAAGAAGGAATTTATACTAAATGAACTCTTATCAAAGATTCTTTCTCAATGTGGGAAAGGCAACAATTACTCAGACTCATTCAGTGAGAACTTTAAAATCAATAATGGAATCAAATTTTTAAAAAAAATTAAATTAATAATGGGCAAACAAGAATATTTTAAGAGGGGAATATACCTTAGAAGATATCTACAACAACAATTAATCTTTATCAATGTGGAAACTGGGACCTCCAGTAATCAAATGAGTTTTTTTCATAGACTCTCAGTGAATGAGTACTGTAAAGGCCAAGGGCAGGTTGCCCCAAGATGGGCCACTTTGGCATGAAGATTATTCTGAATTAAAACCAATTAAAACCCAGCAGACTCAAGAAAAACTCTTTACCTTTCCACAACTGCCTAAAAGAATTTCAATAGAGGAACTGCTCCAGAAAGAGAGCTATCACCATAGGGAACTACATTATAACATGAACTAGGTATGGTAGACAGGGAAGAACCTAGCAAGGCCTGTTTGACCAAAGTCATCTATGTCCCATTGTTTCTGTGTGGCCCAGAAAACCCTTGTTTACCAAACATTTACTTTTTGGTCTTCCTGTGAATTGCATTCCTTCCCTTTTGAAGTCCCAGACCCCCACCCATAACCTTCTCCTCCCCGGCCCCATTCTCCTTAGTTCAGAGTAACATATATACCTTGTTTTTCCTGATTGTCTTTGGAAATTTTATGTCTATGTGGATTCCCAGTTCTTTCATAAATCAAAATATAGAAACTCGTGGATTAAACCATTAGACAGCATTCCCTGAAGGACAGAGTACATTATATTAATTCTTTCTTCTTATTGTAGAGGCAGAAAAAGAAATAAGGATTTCCTTAAGTGTTGTGTCAAAATATCAGGATAAAACATGGAAACTTCAGTCATTCAGATTCTTCATATATATATATATATATATCTAATAATTCTCTGGCCTCCCACTTCCTTTCAAATTGATGTAGGGTGTAGATTCTCTAACTGCTCCCATCCTGAAACAATGTGTCCTTTAGCAGCCAAGGATGCAGCATAACCCAGAAGCACTCATTTAAAAGAAAATCAAAAAAGAAGAAAAAAGAAGAAAGGACATTAATGGACAGGGAAAAAGAGGCTATGCAAAAATTGAAGCCCCTCATCACTATTATAATTCTCTCTACACGATTGCTGGGTTAACTTTCTTTCTTTCTTTCTTTCTTTCTTTCTTTCTTTCTTTCTTTCTTTCTTTCTTTCTTTCTTTCTTTCTTTCTTTAGGATTTTATTTATTTATTTGAGATAGAGAGCTCAAGCAAGCACGAGATGGGGGAGGGGCGGAGGAGGAAGGAGAGGGACAAGCAGACTCTGCCCTGAGTGTGGAGCCCCATGTGGGGCTCAAACTCGTAAACCTGAGATCACGACATGAGCCGAAACCACGAGTTGGACGCTTAACCAACAGAGCCACCCAGGCACCTCTGGGTTCATTTTCTTTTTCTTTTTCTTTTTTTTTTTTCTGGGTTCATTTTCTAATAGCAACTCCATAGTCCTCTCTTCTGGCTGCTCAGCGTCTCCAGTGGAGACACCTCTTCAGCTCAGACTCTGAATCCTACCATTTGGCTGATTCTAGACATTGTCAGTGACAGCCTGTTTACCACCCCATAATACCACAGGTCAGAAGGGCTATCACGGCTGTTTCTTAGCAAGCTCAAAGTTTTCTTAGAGCAGAGCTCATGCTGGGCAAGTTTCCACCCAGACTTCTAAGCAACCAACTTCTTTTTCATTCGAATTTCACCATTAATTCACCTTGGAGTATTGGTCGTGACATCTCTCTTTACATCCCTGATGTTTCCAGAGGAAATGCTCATACTGAACTAACTCTGGGAACCATCTGGGAGGAAGCATTTGCATAACCCTTTCCAAAATAACAGCATGGCAGCCTTCCCAGCTCACAGCCACAACATCCTGTGGAATCAGCAAAACTGTTGAAAAAGCCAACAACCAATTTGAATTAGAACAATTCCATGGGGGCTCAGGGCAACAAGGTTTTTATTCCTAGAATCTAGAATAGTGGTATTCTTAGATCATGATCCAAGACAGATCTGAAACAAGTTTGACACCACCCACCCCCAAATCTCACTTAACGCAGTATGCTTTTTCCCCTCTATTCTATTGCATTTTCATGCTAGTTGTGACCCAGTAAGCTGATTTCATGATCCACTAATCGGTCATGACCCATAATCCAAAAAGCATTGCTGTAGAACATGGAGAAAGTCTCTTTTATCTGGGGTCATTTCAAATGGCCATGTTTTAAGGATTTTAAAGCAGTGCTGTACATTAGAGCCACCGGAGACACTAGAAAAATTAAGATGGCTCGCTCCCCTGGCTAGAGAGTCTGATTCAACTGGTAGCAAGCAAGCAGCAGGCATTGTGAAAGCTCTCTAAGTAATCCTAACATGTGGCCAGGATTGGGAACCATTGCTCTAGTGTAGAGCAACTAATAAGAAAACCTACAAGATCCTTTACTGCAGTACACTTGTCCAAAGAATCTCGCCTGGAGAAGTTATTCTGCGTAATATAAATTTGTCACTACATAGGTTGTTTATCAGTTTGCCGCATTCGGTACAGGACGATCTTTAAAGCACTTTACAATCTCTGTTTTTCCACTTGAGCAGCAGAATCCCTAAAGGCCAGGAGGCCTGAGCGCTGGGCCTCTTGCCTTGGACACAAGGTCAAGGCAGGCCAGAGTTATTATACATCCGCCTCTGGTCTGTGTGACCTTTCCCCTAGTAAGCTTGATTCCCATGAACAGAAACTAGATGCCTGAGAGCTGACACATGGAAAGCGCCTACTGTTCCACAGCAGTGACCCTTCACCTACTAAACTTCCTCTTGTTGACTCTACTGCCAGCCGCCAGCCCGAACAGCCCAGGCTGTGGGTGTGGGACTGACCTTTTACCCACTTAGCCAGCGAGAGGCCCAGCATCTGCTAGCTTCTGCAGGATGGGCTGTATTTCTTCCTTCCAGCACAATGTTGATGAAAATGTGGGGAAGAATCACTTGATTTTTATTTCTAAACAGGAAGTGGGACTATGACTTAGGGCTGTAGCATACAAAAAAACAATCCTTTCGTTCCAATATACAGTGCATTCTGAGGTGCCTATTTGTTGCCAAATGCAGTGGGGGCACCCTACTGTGAAAGGGCTGAAAGAAAGAACACAGAAGGGGAGCTCCACACCTTTGTTCTCTGGACTCAGCTCAGACTAGTGAAACACAGCCAGGCCCCTTTCTTCAGTCAAGAACATAAATGTGTCCCCCAAACTCAGCATTGTCGGATGTTCACATTTAGTTTTCAGAAGACTAAAAGCAGAAAGGAATGTGTGTCTGTGTGATTACTGTGAAAGCTAAAGATTGTGTAGTTTTCTTTCTGGCAAAATCTAACAGATGCTCTACATATGAAGGACACCAGAAAATTTAAAAAAAAAAACAACATCCTAGAAGAAGCAAGCAGTTGAGTTTCCAGCACTTTTTGTGTTTTTTTTTTTAAATTTCAATTCAATTAGCCAACATATAGTACATCATTAGTTTCAGATGTAGAGTTCAATAATTCATCAGTTTCCTATAACACCCAGTGCTCATGACATCACGTGCCCTCCTTAATGTGCATCACCCAGGTACTCCCCCACCCACCCACCCACCACCCTTCTGCAACCCTCAGTTTGTTTCCCATAGTCTCTCATGGTTTGTCTCTCTCTCTGATTTCTTTCCATTCTGTTTTCCTCCCTTCCCCTACTGTCCTTTGCCTGCTTCTTATATTCCACATATGAATGAAACCATGTGATAATTGTCTTTCTCTGATTGACTTATTTCGCTCTGCATAATACCCTCCAGTTCTTTTTGGTTTGTTTTTGAACTCAGTTTTATACAGTTGCCTGGTTTGGGCCAGAGGAACAAGCATTCTTGGTTCTGAAGAGTCAGAAAGGCTAATGTAAAAAATCCTAAATTTCCCAAGCTGCAGAAGAGGGTGGCAAAGATTCTCGTTTAAACTGAGATTTAGAAAACTCACATTTCCTAGTAGCTATGTGTCGTAGGTGACTTAATGACTCTCCTGCCTTGGTTTTTCCTCTGCAAGAGAAAGTGCTAGATTAACGAAGGATTTTCATGCCTGCAGTTGACAATTTCCCCCCGGGCAGGTTTTCTAAGTGGAAAGGGGACGGCGGGGGCAGGGGTCCTGTTGCAGGCCAAAACGTGGAGACTGCTTGGACCTCAAGCCCTGGAATAACAAGGGGTTACATCTTCCAAATCCGATGCACTGATTCACTGATTTCTAGAGCGCTATGTTGAGAAGAATCCTGGGCCAAACCAGACCTAACTGGAAAGGATGTTATGATCTATTATTGGTGGTGTCAGCCACAGTTGGAGACAGAAGAACTTGCACAACATGTACTTGCTTAAACTAGTATTTTCAAACAAAGAAAATTGTAGTGTGACATCCAGTTATCTATCCTTTTACTGTTCAGCATTGTTAAAAAGAAAGACACAAGCCCAAAATGGTATCAGTTAGACTAAGTTCCCAAACTGAGGCTTCATATCTGACCAAATTGAAGTTTCAACCTTCCCAGAAATGCACTCTTAACCAGCCAGTCAGGGATTTTCCCTTCAGTGCCTATGAGTCTGCCACTTGGGCCCTCTTCATCCCCACCCACCTTCCCCAAAGTTGAGGAGGTGATCTGCGTGATAAGGCCCCTTGCTTTTCCCTCTAAGGGAAAGTGGCCTCCCCTGGCTTTGCTAGTAACTTTCTTGTCCCACCCTTTTTCTATAAAAACCTTCAACAGATGAATGGATAAAGAGGATGTGGTCCATATATACAGTCCACATAAGGCAATAGGCAGGGATGATAAGGGAGAGAAAGAGCTGATTATGGGCTCCTCAGGCCTGGAGTCTCCTGGCCTCTTGATATACCCAAGGGGGTTAGAATAGAAGGCAGGAGAACACTGATTCAATTCCCTGTCCTGATTCGGCCTTCCAATTCTGTCAAAAATCTATTCTGAATGGATATATGTCAAATTGGTTTGCCTATTCTTTTGCCTTATCTATTGGCATTTCAACTTTTGAAATAACCTTAATTTTTCCTATAATTAGAGAAGTAACACAAGTTTCATTGCTTAACATTTGGAAAAGCACAATAAAAGCAAATGTAAATACTGATATATCTAAACCCCCCTGCAAATAACCCCTATGGACATTCTGGGTTATTTTCTTTATATATATGTTTATGCATATGTCTATGCATATAATATTAAAAATATAACCATGTATGTTTTCCATTAACATTTCTTATTATCCCCTGACCCCTTCCCTCATTTGGGCAGCTGAACCATGATTCACAGTGGAAGCCAAAAATACATGTTTGGAAGATCTGCTTTACTGAGGTATTATGATATGGGTTTTTTTTTTTCTCAGATCCATAAAAACCTATGTATGATTTCCGTGATCCATTCACTAATCCCCTTTTAAGTTTCATTTGAGCTGTTGTCAAGTTTTCTTCAACTTTTATTCTCTTCTGCACCCCCAATCCGGAGAATCTCTTTTAGTTCTAGAGGTAATAGTGGGAATCTTGATGTGATTTATTGCATATTTATTATGCTCCAAATCCCCTCAAGGCCTAGGCCTTTGAAACTCGTTTTCTTCACCAAAACTCTAGGAACATAGCAAAGGTAGAAATGGCTGCATAGGGAATGAGGCAGACAGGCCTAAATTAGCCTTCTAGAGTTTTCTGCAACCCAGTGGGTACAGTCATAACAAAGGGAAACTGAGGAGGATGGGATATGAGACTATGGTCTAGTATGCTTCAAGAACAGCAGAATGAGGTTGTGCATGCTCCCTCTGAGCCAAGCCCTGGGCGGGGGGGGGGGGGGGGGGGGGGCGGGCGGGAATAGATGCTGTGTGTGTTCATGCTCCCATTAAGAACTGCTTTTTGGTTTGCTACAGTCCTGTGGGCCTTGTGAACATAAGCCATACTGGCTTTCAGAGCTCAGTGATTTGGGAGCTCATCCCTTGGATGGCAGCCTTAAAGTTGGGGCACTCAATGTTTGGTCTAAAACCTTTGCTCTTGAGGGGGGGAAAGATGGCAGAGGAGTAGGGGACCCTATTCCAACCAGTCCCCAGAATTCAGCTGGATATCTACCAGACCACTCTGAACACCCACACAATCAGCCTGAGATGTAAGAAGATCTGGATCTCTACAAACAGAATATCGCAGGCAGTTGGTTCCGTAGTTTGAAGTGGGGAGCCATGATTCCATGGGCAGATATCAGAGGATAAATGGCAGTGGGAAGGAGCCAGCCATGGGGATCCTACAATGCCAGTGGTCCCATGCTGGGGACCAGGCACAGCCTCGCAGACTGGTAGCGATGGGGAAAGGACTTTAGGGCAGCCCCCAGATGGAAACCCGGAGCAGCGGGGCCACTCGTGTGAACTGGGGGCGGCTGGTGATTTTAGAAGCACAAAGGGCAGAGACGTGCCCCGACCTGGAGGGGAGGACTGGGAGCGCTGCAGAGGGGTGCACAACCCAGGATACTGCAGTTTATAGCAGCACAGACAGAAACAGAGATAGTGTGGCCTGGAGAGCTCACTGAAGAACAGACTACGATCTCTCTGCTCTGAGGCAGAGGGTTGGAAACGGTCTCTTCTGCTCTGACTCTCGGAAGAGAGGCGGAAAGCCACCAGAGAACAAAAGCCCTCCAAAACCGGTTTTCACTGAGCCCATCCCCTGCCACAGGGAGCAGGGCAACTCTGCCCAAACAGGGTTGCCTGAGTAGCAGTGTGGCAGGCCCCTCCCCCAGAAAACAGGCTGGGAAAACAAGAGGCCATCAACCCTAAGGTCTCTATAAAACAGGTGCATCTTTCTTGGGTTGTGGTCAATAATTTGGACTCTATAGATTCCCTCAACCACCCAACAGAATGACTAGGAGGAGGAACCCCCAAAATAGGAAAGACTGAGACTATGACTTATGCCACAGAGTTACAAATGGATTCAGATATAACCAAGATGTTGGAGATGGAATTCAGGGTAGCAATTGTGAAGACAATAGCTAGAATGGAGAAATCAATTAGTGGCAACATAGAGTCTCTAAGGGCAGAAATGAAAGCTGAATTGGCAGAACTTAAAAATGCTATCAATGAGATCTAATCTAATCTAGATAATCTAACAGCTAGGGTAAGCAAGGCAGAAGAATGAATTAGTGACCTAGAAGACCAATTAATAGACAAAAAGGGAAAAGAGGAGGCCAAGGAAAAACAACTCAGAATCCATGAAAATAGAGTCAGAGAAATAGTGACACCATGAAACGTTCCAATGTCAGAATTATTGGAATCCCTGAGGGAGCAGACAGAGAGAGAGGACTAGAAGATATATTTGAGCAAATCATAGCCGAGAACTTCCCTAATCTGGGGAATGAAACAAACATTCTTGTCCTAGAGGCAGAGAGGACCCCTCCCAAGATCAAGGAAAACAGGCCAACACCCCGGCATGTAATAGTAAAACGCGCAAATCTTAGAACCAAGGAAACCATCTTAAGGGCAGTTAGGGGGAAGAGATTCCTTACGTACAGAGGGAGGAACAGCAGAATAACGTCAGACCTATTCACAGAGACCTGGCAAGCCAGAAAAGCCTGGCAAGACATATTCAGGGTACTAAATGAGAAGAATATGCAGCCAAGAATACTTTATCCATC